TACTTCCTTTTTTAACTTCCCAAACCTTTACTAGACCCTTTTAAACACTGCCAACTCCCTGGACTTAACCAAACTCTTTTTCCTTTGGGTTTTTCCCAACTTTTACCACTTTTCTGGTTTTTACACCCAACTCGATCGAGCTCGAGTTGGCACCCCCAAACTTAGCCTGAAAACAATCCCAAGAGAACTAGACAACTAGAACTACTGCCCCTGCCGGTTTAAACACAACACCTTATGCTAAGCAAAGCCAAGAAAGGTTCTCACATTCGCACAAGAGATAAAATGGGGTTTGAAATGAAAAAGGCTTAGGTTTAAGGTGTGGTAACTGTCTCAAAGATAGAGATCAGCTATCTGGACAAGCAAAAGGGATATGAAAATAGGTAAAGAATGTCCAGATATGTATGTGGTAGCCATGAGTTGAAATCAAATGCAAGCATTGGTAATTAAAGATCAAGTTATGGTTCAAATAGATAGGGAAATGCATCAAATCACAGCAATGGTTGAATGAGATGTGCATGCAGCGATATGATCAAGATAAACATGGTTCTTGCTGCTCAATCAATCTCACCCTAATGCACAAAAGAATCTAAAAACAGGGCACTCAAGAAATCGCAAAAGATGGACAAGTTTTCAAAGTCAAATCAACAATGCAAGTGAAAAATGCAATCCTAAACAAGTCTAACAAATATGAATGCAAAAAGATGAAAATATTTTTGGATTTTTTGAAAATTTTATGATTTTTTTGGTTTTTCTATGCAAAAGATAAATGAAAAACTAAGAACAAAGAAAACAAGGTTAAATCATCTCTTGAACCCTCCCCCAAACTTAAATCACACAGTCCCTTGTGTGAGAAAAATTTAGTGAAAGATTCAAGAGGGCAAAACCAAGAAAAAACAAGAACAAATGCAAGAAAATATGAAATGGTATATACAAGGGTTGGTGTTTGGATACCTCAGTGTCCCCCAAAGAACTGGGAGACTAGGTCGTGGTCTGGAGATGGTAGACGGCCATCAGGAGCTCCACTCGAACTGGGTTCGGCTCACTCGATCGAGCTTGTGGCTCCTCTTCCTCCTCTTCTTCATCTTCAAAGTGTGTGGCTTCCTTGGCCTTGGTGGAGCTGTGCTTGCTCGAAGCGGTTGTAGGGAGTCCAGGTCTGAGAGAAGTCCTGGTACTGGTTGATCGTACTCGAATCCGGTTCTCAAACAGGGGCTCCTCCAGGTCAACTCGACCCTCAGCTCGATCGAGTTGAGTTTCCTCTGTTTGGACTCGATCGAGTCCGGTGGTCGAGCTGGAGCGTCTGGCCTTGGAGCTCTTCCTCCTTCTCTGCGTGTTGTCTTCTCCTTCCCTTGGCTCGAAAGAAGAGGCTCTGTGAGGCTCTTGGGAGAGCCTCCTTTGGAGTGGTGAGGAGTGACCTACTCCTAGGGAAAGTGGGCCTTGGACTTCTTCTTCTTGCTTGAAGAACCAGAAACCTTCTTCTCCAAACTTTTGATCTTGCTCACCATCTTGTCCATGGACTTTTGCATCTTTCCATGGCTTTCCCTTGCCACTTGTTGAACTTTGGAGAAGTCCAATCCTCTTGTGGGCAGCCACAACAGAGGGGTTCATCCTTGGAGCCTCATACTCCTCAAAGTAGTAGCACTCAGGCTCACCCAAATCCTGCATTTCTGGCTTGTCCTCAGCTCGATCCTCAGCTCGATCGAGCTCAGGCTCCTCTTCTCGCAAATCTCTTCATGCCCAACTAATGTGTACACAGGGGGTCTGAAGTCAATGTTCTCACCCCTAGACCGTGGTGAGCTCAGGGTTGGGCAGAAGAAGCTTGGAGGGTCCAGCCAATGGATGTGTGAACTTGAATTGGAACCTCCCATCCAACTCCTTGTGCTCAATGAAGAGGTTGGTCTTGCAAAACTTGATGTCCATCCAACCTGGGAGTAGACCTTCTCTTGTCCATGGACTCCAGCTGCACAAGATAGGTGTGATGACCCTCCAACACTAAGCTTTCCTTCCCTTTTGCCTAGTGTTGTAAGCTGTCTTGTAGGAGAGAGCTGGTCAAGGAGAGGCATGAGTTCCCTGCAGATCTATCTCCCCTGATCTTCTTCCCATCCTTGTGCGTGAGATGATGGGCTTGATTCCCATGTCAAGGAGCTTCACTTCTCCCTCATTGATTGTCCCAGTGCCTTCCTTGCAAAGAAGGTGTTGGCAAGAGCCTTGTGCACATATCTCAACACTGGGCTCCTGATCTGAGCTGCCTTGGACCTTGAGGAAGAGTACACTCCATCAGCGATTGTAGCCCAAACCCTTTGGAGTTCTTTTCCTTGAGTTCCACTTGGTTCCCTCTCCATAGTGAACCCAAAAAGATCTCCAAGCTGCCTAAAGGTCACCTTCTTCTCTCCCTTGCCAAGAACGTGATCCATCCCAATCCTTGGTCCAACTCAGCTCGATCTTCCTCATACATGTGGTACCTCATTGAAGCCAAGAACTCACAAGTGAGCTCCTTGTAGACTCCATGCGGTAAGAGAAGAACTTGGCCAAGTGCATGTTCTTGAGACCAACTCCACATCTCAAAGATCCAAGGGCCTTCATGTGTCATCATGTGGGTACTTGGTCTCCACAAAGTCCATGGAGAAGAGAGCATCATAGTGCTCTTGGTACATGGGGAGCTCATCCTCTTCTTCCTCTGACTCCTCCTCTTCCATGGGCACATTCTCTTGCTCTCATGCTCATTCTCCTCAATCTCTTGATTGACCTCTTCCCCTCTTCTTCACTTGGAGACTCATCATTCTCCTCATTGATGTTCACTCCAATTTCAAACTCTCCTTGCTTCACTCTCACTACTATAGGGTCATTCCTCTTCTTGGTTCTCCTCTCTCCCTCAATTCTCCTCTCAGACCTCCTCAGAGACATCCTCTCATCTGCTTTCTCTCTTCCTTGATCTCACTTCCAAATCCTTCATCTATGCATCCTTTCTCTCATTCTTCTTGCTTCTCTCCCTTCCTTTCTGAAGCTGCTTGGCTTCCTCACCTCTCAACATCTTGAACTTGTTGCTTCTTGTTGGGTCCTGAAATGCATCAAAATTCAAAGAATTAGAGTTGTAATGATCGGTTTGGTCAACTCGACACTCAGCTCGATCGAGTCAAAAAACTCGAGTGACAAACTCGATCGAGAGGTGAAAACAGAGTATAACCGAACCTAATTCAAGTATTAAGAGCTGGAAAGGATGCTAATCAATCAAATTGAACCAAGAACAACTAGTAAATGGAACAAAGAGCAATTCTAGTGAACTAGCATCTTAACCAATACCAAACTCAAATTCAATTTTCAAGCACATGCAACAAGTTCTAATGGCAAAACAGAGGTGAGGTGAAGGCAAATTCACAAGATTATCAAATAGAAGAAAAAGAAAGCAATTACTCAAGAACAAGTCCACAAGGGACACATGCAATCAAAAATCAAAGAGAAACAAGCAATAGGAAATCGAGATGGAGGAATCAAGGGTTTTAGGGTTCATACCTTGCTTGATGAATTGACAGAAACAAGAACTAAGCAAAAACAAGAAAGAGAAATCGCAAAAACTTAAGAGAAAAGAGAGAAATCGATTTTTCTTGTGGTGAAGAGAGAGAGAGATGATTTCAGAAATTTTAAGATTGTGGGAGAGAGAGAGGTGGATTCGATCGAGTTATGGGGAAGAGGGGTGTTTGAGATGTGTGGTTGAGATTAAAAGATGAAATAAAGAGGGAACAAGAAAGCTAGGGATTCTCTGATCAAATTAGGGTAGTGGGGGACCAAAATCAGCTTGTGGGACCCACTCCCTTGACCAAGAAAACGGTTAGAATTTGAAATTCAAAAACTTACCTCGGTCGAGTTGTGTAGCTCGATCGAGTTGCCCTGGTTTCTAGCTCGATCGAGCTGTCGGTCGAGCTGGCTCCTTGACACCTAAACTTAACTTATTGAAAGGTTAAAAACATAAAGATAGATAGAAATTGCATAAATAGAGTATGTACAAGGATAAACATGGGACTTCCTCCCAAGTGAGCTTGTTTAAGGTCCCATAGCTTGACCTTTACCTTCTTAGGCATTGGTTGAGCTAGTCCCACCATCAAGGGTGATAGTGAGGACTTGAGACAGAAGCTCCTTTAGCTTGGTTGGGTCCCTGGACTGTTCTGAAGTCACCAAGGCCTTGGCTCTAGAGAATGGCCTTGATCTCCCCTTGTACCTTATCTTGTACTCAATCTTCCCATTTTCAAACTTGGTGGGGAACAAAGTCATTGTGAGCTGAGATGGCTTGACTGAAGGGGCCTGAGCTGGTGGATCCTTTCTTTTATCTCCTGGTCTTGCCTTAGAGGCTGCATCCTCCCCTTCTTTTAGAGCCCTTCCTAGTGGCTCATCAAACAAAGCTTGAAGGCTCTCTTCATCAAGCACACAAGGGGCTTGAACAAGTCTCTCAGCTCTTGGCCTATCAGATCGTGGTTTCTCAACTCTAGCCCTCTCAAGACGTGGCTTCTCAATCCTTGGTCCTCTCTCATCCTTATCCTTCCCAACTCTTGGTTCCTTGTCAACCCTTTCCTTCACAACCTTTGTAGCTCCATGACTCTTAGAACTGAGATTGGTACTGTCAATTGTGGCACAAAAGTCTGAACCTCTAGGCTGCAAGCGATATGACACCAAACTATTCACCTTGTGAAGGATCACTTCTTGCTTGTGAAAGTCTATTGAAGCGCCAACTGTACTAAGGAAAGGGGTTCCCAATAACAGAGGCAAATCCTTCTCTTCTTCCATTTCCATCACAGTGAGATCAGTTTGGATGATGCATTCTCCAATTTTCAAGTGATAGTTCTTGAACACTCCAAGAGGAGACTTAGAAGTTGCATCTCCAAACATGATTGAAGTAGTAGGGCGCTGCAAGGCTCCAGCTATGCCTAGCTTCTCTGCCATGGAGAGAGAGATCAGATTGATGCTTGCTCCAGAATCCACTAAGGCATTGTCAATCTCAAGATGCCCAAGTGTGCAAGGGAGAGTGAATTTCCCTTGATCCTTGACCTTTGGTAGGAAGGTGGGTGAAGTAAGCAGGTTGAACTGATGAGTAGACTCTTGTAGGACCTCTGAAACTTTATCACTGTTGGCTAGAACATCCTTGACCATTTGCATTTGATCAAATGCCTCACTCATGCTATCCATAGGAGGCAACTCAATTCCAATCCCACTGAGATCTCTTCTGAACTTGTGAATCACTTCCTTGTGACCTTGACTAAGTAGGCGAGACGAGGAAGCGGCAACCGGTTGGTAAGGATCAAGCAAAACAGGCTGTCGGACAGAAGAGGTCGGACTCGATCGAGCTAGAGTTGGACTCGATCGAGCTGCCGATCGAGCTTGTCGTGCGAGCTCAACTGGTGAAGTGTGAATGGCCACAGTAGGTGCATGCACTTCTGGTTGATCAATCTGGACTCCAGGAGCCTCAGCAGCAACAATCTCTTCATCATTCAGCAGTAAACAAAAATCTTCAATGACCCTTTCTTGATCCTCTTCTTCAACAAGTCCTTCTTGAGTGAAGATGACCTTGCACTGTTCCTTGGGGTTCTGAATAGCTTTACCAGGTAGTTGTCCTTGCTTTGTAGCAGCAGCAACAGAAGAAGCATGATTCTCCAGAGAGTAAACCCTTGTGTTGAGGTTCTCGATCTTAGAGTTTATTTCAGCTAGCTTCTTGCTTGTGTCCACTACCCCATCAGCTTGCCCTTGAAGTAGTTGCTTTAGCATTGCCTTGAGCTCATTCTCTTGTGAAGGTGCAGGCTGGGGCGGTTGGTGGGGGAAGCCTGGTGGGATATTCATTTGTTGTCCAGGGAAAGTGCCTTGTGGTCCTTGGTAATTGTTCTTTTGACCATACCCATGTTGTGGCACCTGACTCGATCGAGCTGCTTGTTGTTGAGGATATACTTGGTCCTGAGGGTTAGCAACATCAGTGTTGCGGTATGACATGGCAGGGTTGGACTTGTAATTATAGTATCCTTTGTTGTAACCTCCTTGCCCATTGCTCATGTAGCACACCTCAGCAAATTGTGTATCCTCCCCTTCTTGGACTGGTTCCATCTCCTCAGCAGACACAAAGTTGACTTTCTTCATTGTGGACTGAGCTAGGATCAGCTTATCCAACTTCTCATTCAATGCCTTAACATCTTTTCTCAACTTTTCGTCTGACTCGATCGAGTGGTGGGTCGAGCTCCGGTTGGTGCGATCATACTCTTCTCCATAGCTTCCATTTGAGTTAGCTATGTTCTCCACAAGTTGCCAGCCATCATCTACATCCTGGTTGAGGAAGTTCCCATTGCTAGCTGTGTCTAGCATCTCCCTATACCTAGGCAAGCATCCTCTATAAAGAGTGGAGAGTAGTGATTCATTGTTGAATCCATGGTGTGGGCACTGACTTGTGTAGCCTTTGAACCTCTCCCAAGCCTCTGCGAATGTCTCATTGTTTCGCTGGATGAAGCTGGATATCTCTCCTCTAAGCTTGGCTGTGCGACCGGTGGAGAAAAACTTAGCAAGAAAGGCCTTCTTGCATTCATCCCAAGTGGTGATTGTGCCATGGGGCAAGCTCTTCTCCCATTGGTGAGCTTTGTCAGCTAGAGACATAGGAAAGAGTCTCAGCTTGATGGCATCTTCAGAGACACCATTGATCTTTGTCAAATCACAAAGCCTATCAAACTCATCAAGGTGGTCAATGGGGTCTTCACTTGGCAATCCATGGAACATCTTGTTCTGGACAAGGTTGATCATTCCCAGCTTGATCTCAAAGTTGTGGTTCTGCACTGGTGGTGGAACAATCCCTTGTCTCTGTTGGTGGCGGTTTGGAGCATCTCCTTGACCAATCGGTCGAGTTTGCCTAGCTCGACCGAGTCCATTCCCAAAGGGTTTCCATTCCCCTCTGGTACATCCATTGTATCAGCAACAAGCACCTCAGGTTCCTCTTGTACCCTCTGTGACCTCTGAACCCTCTTTCTACCCGTTGTAATGTCTAGCTCGACCAAGTCTCTGTAGACCGACTCGATCGAGTTCGCATACACCTGCAAAAAGAGACAAAAACCCAGCAGTACAATAGAACAGGGGTGGTATAGCTTGATCGTCCAAGTGTGTTTGAAACTCAAATGCAACAAAAATATTCCCAAATCGGCAACGGCGCCAAATTGATGATAGGATTTTGTGTGGATGTGAAATGATATGAAATGAGATGAGGTGGAATGCAAACAGGGGTGAATAAGATGAATGGTATGGTGCAATCACAATCTTAACCATCATAGTCATTGAAGTATAAGAGGTTATCAATCCAAAATGGGAAACTTGTCACTCTATGAGAATATGAAACAACCAGAAAGTCAAGCAAGCAGTTAATAGATTTGAAGTAACACTAACAACCTAAAAAAATGAAAAGCAGTGCAATAAAAGTAAACAAAGCAGTGAAGTGTCAGCTCGACCAAGAGCTCGAGTCGAGTAGAGCAAAGTACCAGCTCGATCGAGTTTAGGGACGAGTTGAGACAAACAAAGCTAAAGGTGACGACTTTAACAAGATAAAGAGAGAATTAGGGTTCAAGACAGGGTTTTGCAATCAAAGGAATCTACACTTAATCAATCTAGCTCTTAAAACTCCTTGTATCAAGGCTTCTCTTGATATTGGGCTTCTCAATGCCTAGCCAACCCTTTCCCAAGGTGGAGGCTATCAACCAAGGAATGATCTCAGAAACAGGGGGTTAGCCAGTGAGAATCAAACCTTGGAGGCTATAGGATCATTGCCCAAACTAATCCATCCAACCCCTTAGACCTCTATTGTCTAGAGCAAGAGATATTGGAGCTCTTAGTGGATCTTTTCCAGCGAATGCCATCACTTTCGTGTGGGGAGTCGCCTAAGGACTTACAAGCCAGGGGTAGTGGTCATGTAGCCTTAAGATCTATCCAAAAGAGAGAGAATCTAGATTAAGACCATAAGCTAGAAGGATTAAGCATATGAAACCTCTAATCTATCCCATCTCAAACCCCAATGGGTAACTACTCACTACACATGAATGTAAACACAAGCAAATGCAATAAAAGAGACATCATAAGAAAGAGGAGATGAAATTAAACAACTTTTATTGAAATAAGCAAGTGCAAATACAAAGAGAGATTATCCAGGATCTAAGATTCAAGAAGCAAGAGCTTCAAGAACACAAAGATGGGATTAGATCTCTAAAAAGTAAAAGACAATAAATTAAAAGAAACTAAAACAAAAGTAATCTAAAGCTTGGTGGTTTTTTCGTGGCTTAGAGCCTTTAAATACAAAGAGGATTAGGTTTAGGGTCAAAGGAAAGTCAAGGGGGAAGCAACATTTTTCGGGTTTGACTTTGACTTCTCAGCTCGATCGAGTTGAAGCTTGGCCGGTCGAGTTGAGGAACTCGACCGGTTGGTCGAGTAGACGGTCGAGCTGGTCTTCAAGATGGCTTCTCCCTTCTTCCTTTGCGTATCCAGTTGAGCTGCTTCCATGTGCCAAGTCCCTCCATGCTCCTTATGTCCCATATGCTCCAGAATGCTCCAAAAGACCTATTTCAAAGGACCAAACATGCATATGTATGCAAATGCAACCTAAAACTAACATGAATGCATAAGAAGAGAAAAGGAACAAGATATGATGCAAATGGAAGCTAAAACTATGCAAAAGATGCATAAAAGATGTGCTAAAACTATGTAAAATGCAAGTACATCAATTGGCATCGTCCTGCGGGTTCGTATATATGGGACGCTTGTTAGCTTCACAACATATCACTCAAAGCTCTTTCTTCATCAGATTCTCTACGAGACTTTTTCCTTCCTCTGGTGCAAATGTCTTAGAGGCTGATTGGTTCTCCTGCTGCAACCCGCAAACCCAGCTTTTGCGGGTGGTAGCAGTTGTTAGCGTTTGACAACAATCACCAGAGACTCTTTCTACCGCTCTAAAATGTTCAAAACCGCTTCATATCCCTCAAAAGCAAAAGCTCCTTACCAACAACTTTTGTGGTTGCTGGCAGTTACAGGTGGAGTTCTTTTTAAAAATAAATACAAAATAAATAAAAATAATGTAAATAAATATATATATATATATATATATAAAATCAGATATATGATTTAAAAAATTAAGATTTGGATATTATATTTACAATTTAAATAAATAAATTTGACATTTTTAGTAAATATTCATTAAAAAACATATCATAATTTTTTACATATAAAAGTTATAAATTAATATTCTCTTAACTATCTAATTAATAAAATAGTGTTTTACATTATTATTTTTCAAATAAACATATTTTTCTTCCAAATTATAGAAATTAAATGACAAATGTAAATATTATAAACCGTTTATTAATGCTCTTGACTGCAATGGCCCTCTTCAAGAAACTCCCGCAACAGCAAACACAACCACAACGTTTAAACCAGTCAGGCCGTTAGTCAAACTTGCTTATGAGATTCTGAAACCTTGTTTGAAGATCACAGTGCCTTTTTTTGATAATTCGGAGCTGATAAAGGGATACTCTAAAACCTTGATTCGGAAGGCGCATGAATCCACAAAGGCAAGATGTGAAATATCTCATCACCACGTTCCCACGTGTCTGGAAAATGGAGAATTGTGTCACAGGCGATGATTTGGGTGGGGGGCGTTTCCAGTTCGATTTTGATGAAGAGGATGACATCATTGAAAAAACAGTTCGCCCTAGAAAACTCTCCCAAGCACACTTCCCGAAGCCAGCTGCCGCACAGCTCCGATCTAGGAATGAAGCATCTTCACCGGTGCCTCTCGGTCTGAAATCGGAGGAGCTCCGCTCCCTCTTTTCCGGACTCCCTTTACAGTCCGATGTTTTTGTCTCTCTTTCCGACGGTGCCTTCGTTGCCGTCGAGATCTGTTTCCATCTCACATCTGGGACGTCCGCCGATTATGGGAGCTGTAGCGATGAGAGTTGCAGAGCTTTTGAGGATGGAGATCTCGTCTCTTTCCTTCAGCCTCCCGGATCCGACGTCTCGCATTCCGAACCTCTCTCACCGCCGTGTGAGTACTCTTCCGGTAAGGCCGGTGCCTCCTCCAAAACCTCCAGATCCACTGGAGTTTTGGTATTGTTCTTACTTTATATTTGGATCTTCAACGTGCTTGACCTGCTCCATGGAGTTGTTGCCTCGTCGCATCACCATCTTTGTCGCCTTAACGGCACTCTGTTTCTTTTGGCCGTTCAACCATTGTCTTCTACCCTTCACTGAGGAATCTGACTCTATAACCGGAGATCTCGCTTTCACCGATCTTGCTATCGCAGCTGGAAGCTTCTCCGGTGGTGTCTTCCTGAAGCTGGCCGCCGCCGTCATTGTTACTGGTCCTGGAGGCGAATATGTTACATGGGCCCAGCGGCCCAATTTGCCTCTTAGGGTTAGTTATTTCTTCTCATTTCCTGGGCTGGGCTTTTGTAAAATTTCTGGGCTAGACCCTTGTATTCCTGGGCTTTGCCCTTGTATTAATCATGGGCTTTGCCTATGCATTCTTTGGGCTACAAATGATTTTGCTATTGTTCAAGTTGCTTTGATTAAGGAAAGATCTCATTCGTTTTCCTTCCATGTTTGGGAGAGCTAATTGACATCCATTTTTATTAAAAGGGTGCTATTCTTTGACTTCAAAATCAGAATAGCTATCAATTTCCTTAACGTGTGTCTTCATGTAGCGGTTAAGGTCTGGTTATTCAAGTCCCAAGTGACTCCTCTTCGATCTGTCGGCATTGCCTTGATGATCTGCTTGACGTAAGCGAGTTTCGGCTCCATTTTGCTGTCAATTTATCTTAATTTATCTGCTTTGATGTTGTATTGTATTATGCTAAGAGGATGGTTAATTCCCTCTGTTTGTTGTATGATGGAGAATTAAGATTAATGAAATCAGTTGTTGATGATAGGATTTTACGTGGATGTGATATGAATGTGGATGATAAGATATGAGGTGGAATGCAAACAGGGGTGAATAAAGATGAAATGGTGCAATCACAATCAATCAATTCCTCTTAACCATCATAGTCATGTAGTATAAGAGGTTATCAATCCAAAATGGGAGAACTTGTCACTCTATGAGAATATGAAACACAAGAAAGTCAAGCAAGCAGTAAAGATTTGGGGTAACACTAACAACCTAAAAAATGAAATGCAATGCAGAAATAAATAAAGCAGTAGAGCAACAGCTCGACCAAGGACTCGAGTCGAGTTGGAACAGAGTACCGAGCTCGATCGAGTTTAGGGTCGAGTTGAAGTAAAAAGCAATAAAGGCAGCGACTTTAACAAGCTAGAACGAACAATAGGGTCTAAGACAGGGTTTACAATCAGAGGAAGGCTATACTTAATCGATCTTGCTCTCAAAACTTGTATCAAGGTATCTCTTGATATTGAGCTTCTCAATGCCTAGCTAACCCTTTCCCAAGGTGAAAGCTATCAACCAAGACTTGATCTCAGAAACAGGGGGTTAGCCAGTGAGAATCAAGCCTTGGAGGCCATAGGATCATTGCTCAAACTAATCCATCCAACCCCTTAGACCTCCATTTCTAGAGCAAGAGATATTGGAGCTCTTAGTGGACCTTTTCCAACGATTTCCATCACTTCCATGTGGAGAATCGTCTATGGACATACAAGCCAGGGATAGTGGTCATGTAGCCTTAAGGTTTGTCCAAAAGAGAGAGATTTCTAGATTAAGAACATAAGCAAGAAGGATTAAGCATAAAATCCTCTAATCTATCCCATCTTTGACCCTAATGGGAAACTACTCACTACACATGAATGTAAACACAAGCAAATGCAATAAAAGAGACATCATAAGAAAGAGGAGATGAAATAAACAACTTTTATTGAAATAAGCAAGTGCAAATACAAAAGAGATTATCCAGGATCTAGGATTCAAGAAGCAAGAGCTTCAAGAACACAAAGATGGGATTAGAGCTCTCAAAAGTAAAAGACAATAAATTAAAAGAAACTAAAACAAAAAGTAATCTAAAGCTTGGTGGTTTTTTCGTGGCTTTTAGCCTTAAATACAAGAGGATTTAGGTTTAGGGTCAAAGGAAAGTCAAGGGGGAAGCAACATTTTTCGGGTTTGACTGTTGACTTCTCAGCTCGATCGAGTTGAAGCTTGGCCGGTCGAGTTGAGGAACTCGACCGGTTGGTCGAGTAGATGGTCGAGCTGGTCTTCAAGATGGCTTCCTCCTTCTTCCTTTGCGTATCCAGTTGAGCTGCGTCCATGCCAAGTCCTCCATGCTCCTTACGTCCCATATGCTCCAGAATGCTCCAAAAGACCTATTTCAAAGGACCAAACATGCATATGTATGCAAATGCAACCTAAAACTACTATGAATGCATAAGAAGAGAAAAGGAACAAGATATGATGCTAATGGATGCTAAAACTATGCAAAAGATGCATAAAAGATGTACTAAAACTATGCAAAATGCAAGTACATCACTCATCTGCCAACTGATCCATCTCCTCAACTTAAAAGAGTTGACCTTCTATTGTTGGCTTCCTCATTGTATCTTTGATGTCAAACTTCATCCTCAGGTCCTTTCCCAAGTTTAGCTCAATTGTGCCTTCAAAGACATATATCATTGCTCTTGCTGTAGCTAGGAATGGCCTTCCTAGTATAAGTGGATCCGTTGGTTCCTCATCCATCTCCAGCACAATGAAGTCGGTGGGGATTTCTACATTCCCTATTCTCAAAGGCAGATCTTCAAGCATTCCAGTTGGTAACCTTATCGATCTATCTGCCAAGACTAGTGAGATTCCGCAGGCTTGATACTTGTGATATCCCAGTCTCTTTGCTACGGACAAAGGCATGAGGCTGACAGATGATCCTAGATCCCAGAGGCTGTTTTTGAAAGACAGGGGTCCCAACATGCAGGGTAAAGTGAAACTCCCCGGATCTTCCTTTTTGTCGGAGATGACCTTCCGCTGAATGATTGCACTGCACTCATGAGTCAACACTACCATCCCTTGTGCTTCCCTGGTTCTTTGCTGAACAGCATCCTTCAGGAATTTCTGATAAGGTGGAATGAGCATCAAGGCGTCGATGAAAGGCAACTTCAGCTCAAGTTGTCTCATTAGTTCATCAAACTTGGCCTTGTGTGCTTCCAACAGCTGTTTCTTGAACCAACCGGCCGAGTAGGTGGTCGAGCTGGTCTTCAAGATGGCTTACTCCTTCTTCCTTTGCGTATCCAGTTGAGCTACGTCCATGTGCCAAGTCCTGCTTTGCTCCTCTCGTCCCATATGCTCCAAAGTGCTCCAAAAGACCTATTTCAAGGATCAAACATCCATATGTATGCAAATGCAACCTAAAAATACTATGAATGCATAAGAAGAGAAAATGAACAAGATATGATGCTAATGGATGCTAAAACTATGCAAAAGATGCATAAAAGATGTACTAAGACTATGTAAAATGCAAGTACATCAGTTGTGCACCAAAAAAAAAAAAAAAGATGACATCATTGAGATGCTCAGGATGGGACCGTACCACTTTGATCACTGGATGGTGTCTGTGGTGCGTTGGCATCCTGTCCTTGACCCATTTTATCCTCCGGATATCACTTTCTGGGTGAGACTGGTGGAGCTTGATGATAGGATTTGTGTGTGTGATGTAAAATATGAAATGATATGAGGTGGAATGCAACAATGGTAAATGAAGATGGGATGGATTTGTGTGTGGGTGTGAAAGATATGATATGAAATTTGGTGGAATGCAAAAGTGGTATATAAGATGAGGTGGTAAGATGCAAAACACAATCACAATCAATCAATTCCCCTTAACCATCATAGTCATTAAAGTATAAGGGGTATCAATCCAAAAGGGTGAAATGTTACTCTATGAGGATATGCAATCATGATGTTGAGTCAGGTTTTACCAAACTCTTAGACCTCTGCAAGTGCACAGATCGCGGAAGTATGGGTATCGAACACAAGGACTGGCTATTGAGTACACTTTGAAACTATGGATTTTGGATCAAGCTAAAACAAAAGTATGGTTTGAGGTTGTAATGGTGAACAGAACTAGCAAGTAAACGAGGTTGTAAATCAATAAGGAAGAAGCGCTAGGTCAACAGGGGCTAATCGCAGAGAAGCAAGCAATGATCAATGAAACAATGATAGATGAATTGATTAGGGATGTTGGGATATTAAGAACCGTCTAGAACACAGATCACGAATATAAAACCATTCCACTTTCGAGGCTCCGGCTCCTTTGTTAATCTACCTAGTCGCTAAACTTTTGGTATGTCCCTAGGTGATTAAATCAAGCTTTAGAATGAATAGGTTCTGATACAGTTCACTAGATTATAGTAGATCAACTTTCGCAGTCTAAGAAACCTAGCTTGCCAAAGAATATGTCCGGCGAATGATACAACACTGTCGAGGCTCAAATCAACCTAAGATCGGATTACTAGATGCGCGGTAAAGGGGTTTCCCGCCTATTCCCCCTCCCCCCCCCCAACTAAAATGTTTCCATCGTGATCCACACAGACTTTTGAGCCCCTTTTATTTCCCCCCAAACTTATAATCTCTGTCGGTTCCCCCATTTGCGTTTTTAAACACAAAATCCAGTTTTCAGAACAGTGATTGCCCATTTTAACTCAATTGACTCGGGGTTTTAAAACGCAAACCCGCGGTTTGTCTAACAAATCAGACCCGATTACATCTAACCCTAACCCGAAACCCACACTCAAAAAATTAAAATCAATTTGGGGGAAATGATGATAGGATTTTACGTGGATGAAGTGAATGAAGGATGATATGAAATGAGGTGGAATGCAAACAGGGTGAATAGAGATGAGATGGTATGGTGCAATCACAATCAATCAATTCCTCTTAACCATCATAGTCATTGAAGTATAAGAGGTTATCAATCCATAAGGGTGAGATGTTGCTCTATGAGAATATGCAAACACAAGAAAGTCAAGCCAAATGATTAAATGGAGGGATGTAACAACTAAACAACCTAATATGAAATGAAATGCAAGCAAAAGCAGTAAATAAAAGCAGCTCGACCAAGAGCTCGATCGAGTTGATGAGCTCGATCGAGTTGAGGGTCGAGTTGGTGTAAAAACAGAGGAAAGCGAATGAAAAGCAATAAAGGTGCAAACTTTAAGATGCTAATGCGAAGATTAGGGTTAAAGACAGGGTTTTGCAGCTAAAGGGAGGCTATACTTAATCAGTCTTGCTCTTAAACAACTTGTACTCAAGCTATCTCTTGATATTGAGCTTCTCAATGCCTAGCTAGCCCTTTCCCAAGGTGAAAGCTATCAACCAAGACTTGATCTCAGAAACAGGGGGTTAGCCAGTGAGAATCAAGCCTTGGAGGCCATAGGATCATTGCTCAAACTAATCCATCCAACCCCTATGAACTCCATTTCGAGAGCAAGAGTTATTGGAGCTCTTAGTGGACCTTTTCCAACGATTTCCATCACTTCCATGTGGAGAATCGCCTATGGACATACAAGCCAGGGATAGTGGTCATGTAGCCTTAAGGTTTGTCCAAAAGAGAGAGATTTCTAGATTAAGAACATAAAGCAAGAGAGATTAAGCATAAACAACCTCTAACCTATCCCATCTTAAACCCTAAAGGAAACTACTCACTACACATGATGAAATAAACAACCAAATGCAATAAAGGAGACATCAAAAGATAGAGGAGATAAAGATAAACAACTTTTATTGAAATAGCAAAGTGCAAAAACACAATAACAAGGCCTAGATCTAGGTTCTATGAGCAAGAGCTCAAGAACACAAAGAGAGGCTAAAAAGTAAAAAGAGAAATGCAAATACAAGATTAATTAAAAGGTGAGCCAAAAGCTATGTTTAATTCGTGGCTCAATGCCATTTATAGTAAAGCAAACTAGGTTTAGGGTCAAAGGGGAGTCAAAGGGAAGCAACATTTTTCGGGTTTGACTTTGACTCCTGGGAAAGCAGCTCGATCGAGTTGGAAACTGGCCGGTCGAGCTGGTGGGTCGAGTCCAACCAATATCGTCGTATCTTCTGAACCGCTGGTCCGAATGACATGAAACCACCTCCAGACGAAAGCTAACTCAATTATCCACAACTTCCAAGAAGAAGTCAGACACTGAATCGTAGTGGAAACCCTTCATTTGATACGATACTTCGGACGCATCTCACTAGCTCGACCGAGTGCGGGTCCGTACATGTCCTCAAAAGCGATTTGCTAAATGTCCAACTTAGAGATTCTAGAATGCAACAAGGTGAGAGATATTCATTAAGATCTTAACTATTCTTATCATAATCAATCCCACTTCACAGTCACTCAAACAATGCATTCAAATCAGCAAATCCCTTTAACATTCATTAGGAAGAATCGTGAACCAAAAACATGCAAGATCAATCAACTCATTTAGTTTGAAGGGTGTATGGGTTAAGAGACAAAGAAGGTCTCTTTTGAGTGTATGGTTGTTTAGTAACAGAGATCTCTCAAGAAAAATGGCTTTGCTTTGGCAGAAGGCTAAGTGTTAGAACCAAAGATGGTGCAAGGACAGCAACTCGTCGTATCTTCTGAACCACTGGTCCGAATGACATGAAGCCACCTCCAGACGAAAGCTAACTCAATTATCCACAACTTCCAAGAATAAGTCAGACACTGAATCGTAGTGGAAACCCTTCATTTGATACGATACTTCGGACGCATCTCACTATCTCGACCGAGTGCGGGTCCGTACATGTCCTCAAAAGCGATTTGCTAAATGTCCAACTTAGAGATTCTAGAATGCAACAAGGTGAGAGATATTCATTAAGATTTAACCATGCTTATCAACATCAATCCCACTTCACAGTCACTCAAACAATGCATTCAAATCAGCAAATCCCTTTAACATTCATTAAGCAAAAACAGTGAACCAAAAACATGCAAGATCAATCAACTCATTTGGTTTCAAGGGTTTATGGGTTAAGAGACAAAGAGGGTCTCTTTTGTATGGTGGTTTAGTAACAGGGATCTCTCAAGAAAGTGGCTTTGCTTTGGCAGAAGGCTAAGTGTTAGAACCAAAGATGATGCAAGAACAGCAGCTCGAGCCGCCTAATCCTAACTCGATCGAGTTCAACACTTAGAGCTTTTTAGAACAAAATCCTAACTACCCTTTTTGGCATTTCGCCTTTGAAACTGAGGAGCTTTGCTCACTTTTCTTTTAAGAACTTCCTAGGGAGAGGCTTCTTGAGGTAACATCTAGCGGTTTGGGATTTTCTAAACACTTAGGGAACTTTTCTTTCCTTTTTGACACTTGAGGCTTTGCCTTCTTTTCATTCTACTTAGAACCCTTTTTACTTTCCTTTTTTAACTTCCCAAACCTTTACTAGACCCTTTTTAACACTGCCAACTCCCTGGACTTAACTAAACTCTTTTTCCTTTGGATTTTCCCAACTTTTACCACTTTTCTGGTTTTTACACCCAACTCGATCGAGCTCGAGTTGGCACCCCCAAACTTAGCCTGAAAACAATCCCAAGAGAACTAGACAACTAGAACTACTGCCCCTGCCGGTTTAAACACAACACCTTATGCTAAGCAAAGCCAAGAAAGGTTCTCACATTCGCACAAGAGATAATATGGGGTTTGAAATGAAAAGGCTTAGGTTTAAGGTGTGGTAACTGTCTCAAAGATAGAGATCAGCTATCTGGACAAGCAAGAGGGATATGAAAATAGGTAAAGAATGTCCAGATATGTATGTGGTAGCCATGAGTTGAAATCAAATGCAAGCATTGGTAATTAAAGATCAAGTTATGGTTCAAATAGATAGGGAAATGCATCAAATCACAGCAATGGTTGAATGAGATGTGCATGCAGTGATATGATCAAGATAAACATGGTTCTTGCTGCTCAATCAATCTCACCCTAATGCACAAAAGAATCTAAAAACAGGGCACTCAAGAAATCGCAAATGATGACAAGTTTTCAAAGTCAAATCAACAATGCAAGTGAAAATGCAATCCTAAACAAGTCTAACAAATATGAATGCAAAAAGATGAAAATATTTTTGGATTTTTTGAAAATTTTATGATTTTTTTGGTTTTTCTATGCAAAAGATAATGAAAAACTAAGAACAAAGAAAACAAGGTTAAATCATCTCTTGAACCCTCCCCCAAACTTAAATCACACAGTCCCTTGTGTGAGAAAATTTAGTGAAAGATTCAAGAGGGAAAAACAAGAAAAATGCAAGAAAATGAGAATGGTATGTACAAGGGTGTTTGATACCTCAGTGCTCCCCCAAAGAACTGGGAGCAAGGTCATGGTTGGAGAGGGCAGGAGACAATAGCATCATAACGGCATCAATCGCCAAAATAGGTGTGGTGAGATTGGACTCGATCGAGTCTGTGCTCGAGTCAGAATAGCTTCCCTTTTGAACTAACTCCTGCAAGCCTTAGACAGAAACAACTACAAAGAACTAAATGAAAGTATTATATACAAGATAGACATGGGAATTCCTCCCAAGTGAGCTTGTTTTAGGTCGCATAGCTTGACCTTTTACCTTTTAGGCATGAATGAGAGCGGTCCCGCCATCAAATGTGACAGTAAGGACTGAAGATAGGAGCTCCTTGAGCTTGGTTTGATCTTTTTGCAGCTCAGGACTGACCAAGGCATTGATACTGGAAAACGGTTTAGACTTTCTCTTGCACTTGATCTTGTACTCAATCTTCCCATTTGTGAACTTGGATGGCAACAGAGTCAGGGTAAGCTGGGATGGAGCGCTTGAGAGAGTCTGAGGCGTGATCATCTTTCTTTTATGTCCAGGAGACGCCTTCAAAGCCATACCCTCCCTATCTTTTTGAGCACTTCCTAGCTGCTCACTAAACAAAACTGCAAGACCCATCTCATCCAGAACACAAGGTTCACAAATAACTGGCTCTGTGCTGCTCTCAGTCATTATCTCCATCTTTTCAACCTCAGCAAACTCATCACCCTTGATGCTCAGTGACTTAGTGGCAATGGTTCCACAATATTTAGAGCTTGATGCCTTGAGAGGGTAAGAGACTTTGCTGTTGACATTGTGCAGGATCACTTTCTTTGTATGGAAATCAATGGAGGCACCAACAGTGGTGAGGAAAGGTGTCCCTAAGATCAATGGCACATCCTTCTCGTCAACCATATCCAGAACTGTTAGATCAATTGGGATTGTGCACTCTCCAATTCTCAAAGGGAAATCCATGACAATACCAAGTGGGGCTTTAGAAGAAGCATCCCCAAACATGATAGAAGACTTAGGTCGCTGGATCAGACTCTGTATACCCAATTTCTGTATTAGAACAAGAGAGATCAGACTTGATACTTGCTCCAGAATCAACAAGTGCATCCTCAAGTTGTAGGTGACCAAGTGTACAAGGCAGAGTGAAGCTTCCCTGACCATTCAGCTTGGGTAGTGAGGTTGGTGTGGATAAGAGATCACCCTGGGAAGAAGAGGGCTCCAAAAGCTGAGCTACTTCGTCCTTGTTATCAAGTATGTCCTTAATCATCTTCTTTTGGACATGAGCAGCTTGAAAACTTCCCATATTTGGTAGCTCAACCCCAATCTTACTCATGTCATTCCTAAACTTGGTGATGACTTTTTTCTGATTCTTGGTAAGGATTCTACTTGGAAATGGAACAGGGGGCTTGTAGGTGTCATCATCAGATGGTGTTGGAGCATAAAGCATCTGACTCGATCGAGCTGGTGAGACGGTCTGGCTCGATCGAGCTGCCAATCGAGCTTGCACTTCAGGTTGAGCGTACTGGACTCCAGGAGCATCAGCAACAACATTGTCTTCATTATTAAGCAGCATACAGATCTCCTCAATATCCTTCTCATTAGCAGCTTGTTGATCAAATCCTTCCTCTTGAGTGAAGATCGCTCTACAATGCTCCTTTGGATTCTGAACAGCCTTTCCAGGAAATTGACCTTGCTTAGCAGCAGAAGAAGAAGCATGGTGTTCCAAAGAGTGAACTCTAGTGTTCAAGGATTCAATCTTAGAGTTCATCTCAGCCAACTTCTTGCTTATCTCCATAGCACCATCTGCTTGACCTTGTAAGAGCTGCTTCAACATGGCTTTTATTTCTTGTTCCTGACTTGGTGAAGCCTGAGGCGCTTGAGGTGCATACCCAGTTGGTACACTCTGCTGTTGTCCTTGATAATTTCCCTGATGGCCCTGGAAATTCCCTTTCTGACCATATCCTTGCTGTGGAGGCTGACTCGCTGGAGCCTGTTGCTGCGGAGGGTAGACTTGATCTTGAGGATTGGCAACATCAGTGTTACTGTAGGACATGGTAGGGTGTGACTTGTAGCCATAGTAACCGTTTTGATAACCTCCTTGTCCATTCTTAATGTAGCACACTTCAGCAAACTGATTCTCCTCCTCTTCTTGGCCTTGAACCATCTCTTCTTTAGAAACAAAGTTGGCCTTCTTCATTGTGGATTGAGCTAAGATAAGCGTATCCAACTTCTCATTGAGTGCCTTGACATCGTTTCTCAGCTTACTATCAGACTCGATCGAGTTGGAGGTCGAGCTCCTGTTTGTGCGATCATACTCCTCTCCATAGCTCCCACTTGAGTTAGCAATGTTCTCCACAAGCTGCCAGCCATCATCTACATCTTGATTGAGGAAGTTTCCATTACTGGCTGTGTCCAACATCTCTTTGTATCTTGGCAAAACTCCTCTGTAAAGTGTGGAAAGCAAAGACTCATTGCTGAAGCCATGATGAGGGCATTGACTGGTGTAACCCTTGAATCTCTCCCAAGCTTCAGCAAATGTCTCATTGTTCCTTTGAGTGAAACCAGATATCTCGCTTCTCAGCTTAGCAGTGCGACCAGTAGAGAAGAACTTGGCAAGAAATGCCTTCTTGCAATCCTCCCATGTAGTGATTGATCCATGGGGTAAACTCTTCTCCCATTGATGGGCCTTGTCACCAAGAGACATAGGGAAGAGTCTCAGCTTGATGGCATCTTCAGAGACACCATTCATCTTGGTCAGATCACACAGCCTATCAAACTCATCCAAGTGATCAATGGGATCTTCACAAGACAATCCATGGAACATCTTGTTCTGGACTAAGGTAATCATCCCCAGCTTGATCTCGAAATTGTGGTTCTGGACAGGAGGTGGGACAATCCCTCTTCTTTGCTGGTGGCGGTTTGGTGCATCTCCAAGCCCAATCGGTCGAGTCTGCCTAGCTCGACCATTTCCATTACCCAGAGGGTTTCCATTACCCTCTGGTATATCCATAGTATCTGTAACAAGCACCTCTGACTGAACTTGTTGCCTCTGGCTCTTCTTTCTCTGTTTTCTGCCTATGTTGATGTCTAACTCGACCAAGTTCTCTGTTGATGAGCTCGATCGAGTTCACATACACCTGCAAAACAGTCAAAAACCCAGCAGTACAAGCAACAAAGGTGGGATAGTACTTGATCGTTCAAGTGATTTGGAAACTCAAATGCAACAGTAACAAACCCAAATGGCAACGGCGCCAAATTGATGATAGGATTTTACGTGGATGAAGTGAATGAAGGATGATATGAAATGAGGTGGAATGCAAACAGGGGTGAATAGAGATGAGATGGTATGGTGCAATCACAATCAATCAATTCCTCTTAACCATCATAGTCATTGAAGTATAAGAGGTTATCAATCCATAAGGGTGAGATGTTGCTCTATGAGAATATGCAAACACAAGAAAGTCAAGCCAAATGATTAAATGGAGGGATGTAACAACTAAACAACCTAATATAAAATGAAATGCAAGCAAAAGCAGTAAATAAAAGCAGCTCGACCAAGAGCTCGATCGAGTTGATGAGCGCGATCGAGTTGAGGGTCGAGTTGGTGTAAAAACAGAGGAAAGCGAATGAAAAGCAATAAAGGTGCAAACTTTAAGATGCTAATGCGAATATTAGGGTTAAAGACAGGGTTTTGCAGCTAAAGGGAGGCTATACTTAATCAGTCTTGCTCTTAAACAACTTGTACTCAAGCTATCTCTTGATATTGAGCTTCTCAATGCCTAGCTAACCCTTTCCCAAGGTGAAAGCTATCAACCAAGACTTGATCTCAGAAACAGGGGGTTAGCCAGTGAGAATCAAGCCTTGGAGGCCATAGGATCATTGCTCAAACTAATCCATCCAACCCCTATGAACTCCATTTCGAGAGCAAGAGTTATTGGAGCTCTTAGTGGACCTTTTCCAACGATTTCCATCACTTCCATGTGGAGAATCGCCTATGGACATACAAGCCAGGGATAGTGGTCATGTAGCCTTAAGGTTTGTCCAAAAGAGAGAGATTTCTAGATTAAGAACATAAAGCAAGAGAGATTAAGCATAAACAACCTCTAACCTATCCCATCTTAAACCCTAAAGAGAAACTACTCACTACACATGATGAAATAAACAACCAAATGCAATAAAGGAGACATCAAAAGATAGAGGAGATAAAGATAAACAACTTTTATTGAAATAGCAAAGTGCAAAAACACAATAACAAGGCCTAGATCTAGGGTTCGTCGATTTGGAGAAATCAAAAGGGGATAGATTCGGGGTTAAATCCTCTGTTCGGTGTTCTCCCCCGTGTTGCTCTGTCGTTCTCATCTGGTCGGTTCTCCTGTTTCGTCGTCGTTCTCCGGTAGTCACGAAAGGAAACTGCATTTCCGATGAGGTATTGTTTCTTCGTTTTAGCGTTTAAATTCGTTCTGCTGACACTTAGAGTAGTTGTTTAGGGTGATTGTGGGAGTGATTGTCTCATGGTTTTGCTTATTTGCAGTCATTTCGAGACTTTCAAATTGAACTTGCATTATGGAGGACTTATGGAGATAATCGGTGGTAGATTCAGTTACAATGGAGGAGCTTCGAAGCAGGGCATTGTTGTTGATCCTGATTTGATGACCTGGTCGTGTTTTGATGGCTACTGTGAGGAGTTTTCGATAGAAGGTGGTTTAGTGGAGCGAGTTTGGTGGAAGCTCCATCACGAGAGCATGGATACACTGAAGTGTATTGTTGTCGTGGCATCTGACGCAGAGCTTATGGGAATGTGTAGTCAGGCTATGTCAACTTGTCGTGAAGTTGATGTGTTCATCGAGCAAGAGGAAAAGGGAAAAGATGGTGAGGAGGCTGATGTCAATTTGGAACAGTCTGCTGCTGTTGAAACTGAGAGCGAGAAGGCTCTTTCTGCTGAGAGCGAGAAGGCTCCTTCTGCTGAGGAGAATGAAAGCGAGATTGGTGAGGATGAAAGCGAGGAGGCTGAGGAGAATCAAAGTCAAAGCGAGGAGGCTGAGGAGAATCAAAGCGAGGCTGCTGCAGATGAAAGCGATAAGGATGCTGGAAATGAAAGCGAGATTGATAGCGAGAAAGAGGAAGCTTTGAGGGAAGCTAAGAGGAAAAAGGATAAAAAAGGTAAATCTAAGGTTTTGGAAGATGAAGAAGACATTGGTGCGCGATATGATATGGAGATTGAGGATGCTGTAGCTAGTTTTGTTGATGAGGAAGTAGATTTCAGAAGGACAATTCTAGAGAGTTCAGATAGTGAAGAAGAAGATGATTTGGCTTTGAGAAAGAGACGAATGAGGAGAGATGCTCAGGTTGATAAGTTAGCTCTAGGAGCTACTTTTTGGTCAGGTTATGAGTTCAAGGAAGCCGTTTTGGATTATGCTTTGGCGAATGCAAAGAATATTGAGCAAAATAGATGGGACAAGACGAAGATTGGATACAAATGTGGTGAAGGAGGAAAATGCAAGTGGAAGCTTTATTGCTCGTATGATGAGCCGCATGGGAAGTGGGTTATAAAGACAAAGTGTGGATATCACAGCTGCACGCCTAAAGGGAGATGCAAGATGCTTAAAGCTCCAGTCATTGCAAAGCTTTTCTTGCACAAGTTGAGGCAAAAGCCTAACTTTTGGCCTATCAAAATGCAAAAGTACATCAAAGAAACTTGGTCACTCGTAAGCACAACGAATCAATGCCAGAATGGAAGGTTGCTAGCTCTGAAATGGCTCGACAGAGAGTATGAGAAAAAAATTTGCACATATTCGTGGATATGTCGAAGAGATACTCACGCATCACGAGAAAACAACGGCCATTGTTGAAACATATCCGAATGCAAAAAACCAAGATGTTCCAGGGAGAGCTTTGGTCACATGGACAGACAACAAGAGGAAGCAGGCAAAAGGAGCTCGATCGACCTCACAATTCGATCGAACCGACGAGACGAGCATCACAAGTTGATCGACTGCACAATGGACTCGCTCACACCACCCCTTAATGCACCAACTCGATCGATCCCATGCAGAGCAAGCCAGCTCGATCGATCCCTTTCCTGTCTCAGCCGTTCGATCAATCCCGGTCAGATGATATCACAGCCGTTCGATCTACTTGGTGCAAACCGGCTCGATCGAACCGTAGCGAACCGGATTGAACCGAAGTCGACCCCAGAGCTATTTAGACCTATTTTCAGCCATTGTTGAGGCTACGCCGTTTTTCAGAGTTTTACATTGTTTCTAGGGAGAAGAATTCGAACCTCTGTTTTTCACAGTTTGGAGAAGATTTCTGAACCCTTGTTTTTCTATTATTTCGTATTTTGATTCAATGAATTAAGTTTCAATCATTGTTTGCTGTTTCGCCATGTCTGAGTAGTCACCTTGCTAGATCTAGGTTTTTCAAAGGGATTCATGCGTTAACTAGACTGAATACATATAGGCTTTAATACTGTCTTCACCACTGTTAAACTTACTGCTTAGATCGATCTGATCACTCGATCTCTGATCTCAGATTTACCTGTTCATCAAAAGTGCAATAGGTTGTTAGAACAAACTGTGGTGAGCGAATCGTCCTTAGCCTGCGAAAGTTGATGCTAAGGCGATTCGTGAACATATCGAACCTGTCATCAATTGCTAAATTCAAACGACAGTTCAGATATCTAGGTTGTTAGACAAAGCTAGTTCGTGAACATATCGAACCGTGGACTTGGCGGGATGCAGATGATGTGTGCGGGACTATCGCGGTACGTTCGTTCCACGATCGGCCGGTGTGCGCGGCTCAGGACGAGAATGCTCGATAAAGCCGTCTGGACCAGTCTTCACTAATTTGATCATATCTTCACTTCTACTCATCCAAATGATGCCAATCCAATTGCGTTGGAGAGTTAACTCACTCAGAGCACGCTGGGAACTGGTCATGATGAAATCCATTGAGTAGATCTTTTTCTGTACCCTTTCAAAGTTGATGCTTGGGTATGGAGCTGCTTGAAGCGCCAATTCTGTTGTTTTGCTCCAAATGCATCATTTCACCTGTTTAGACTCTAAGTACTATAAATCCAATAAAACTACCTTTTAGATAGAAAACCTGCCAAAAACCATTAGAAAACCAAACTAAAACAGTATAAAAAGCATGTAAAATAGAGGTATATCACCATGCAGCTGTTTTATAAGGTGAAGGTGATATATTTAATGGAGATGAAATAGGATGTGAAAGAGATCCACCATACAAATCAAGGTGGAGCTCCAAGGGGCATGAACACTGATCGGAACAAGGTGGTTCGAAAGAAACCTTTTAGGTCCACCGTTGCGATTGGTGGAGGTGGTATGAGGCGCTTGATTCATGTATCGAGGACACCACACAAGAAAAAGGGTGGAAAAGGGTGTCTTCTGGATCGGATCAGGGGTAAAGCTGGGAAAGATGAGGATGATCCCACGGCAGGGAAGGGTAAGGGAAAAGCTACTGAAGAATGAGAGTTTTAAGTTGGAATTGTCAGGGATTGGGAAATCAGTTTACAATAAGCCATCTCTGGGAAATTTGGGGCAAATTCAGACAAGGGTTTTTATTTTTATCAGAGACTAAGCAATATTTTAATTTTATTCAGCAATTTTAATTTCATTTTGGCTATGATGATTTGTTTACTGTTGATCCATGTGGTGCAAGTGGTGGTTTGTCCTTATCTTATAATAATTTTTTTGATGTTAACATTATATCTTGAACAAAAGATTAATTGATGTTAAGGCTCGGTATGAAGGGAAATTTATTTCTTTATCGTTTGTTTATGGAGACCTGATGCGGGTTTAGATTGCCTCAAATTTTCACAATTTAATAACCCAACTAATTGAGCTGCAAGTGCACAGCCGCGTTGTAGTCGGTGTCGAACACAAGGAGGAAGTGTTCTCGCTTAACACCTTGTGAGATTGAGTTGTAGCTAGCTCGTGATATTGGATGGTTTTGGACCTAAAATAAGAAAGCAAAACAAAGAGAGATGTGAGTGAGGTTGTGGAAAATTTAAAACAAGAGTTAGGGAAAGGACAATCATAGGTTGCATTTGCATACATATGCATGTTTGGTCCTTTGAAATAGGTCTTTTGGAGCATTCTGGAGCATATGGGACATGAGGAGCATGGAGGGACTTGGCACATGGAAGCAGCTCAACTGGATACGCAAAGGAAGAAGGGAGAAGCCATCTTGAAGACCAGCTCGACCGTCTACTCGACCAACCGGTCGAGTTCCTCAACTCGACCGGCCAAGCTTCAACTCGATCGAGCTGAGAAGTCAACAGTCAAACCCGAAAAATGTTGCTTCCCCCTTGACTTTCCTTTGACCCTAAACCTAATCCTCTTGTATTTAAAGGCTCTAAGCCACGAAAAAACCACCAAGCTTTAGATTATTTTGTTTTAGTTTCTTTTAATTTATTGTCTTTTACTTTTTAGAGATCTAATCCCATCTTTGTGTTCTTGAAGCTCTTGCTTCTTGAATCCTAGATCCTGGATAATCTCTCTTTGTATTTGCACTTGCTTATTTCAATAAAAGTTGTTTAATTTCATCTCCTCTTTCTTATGATGTCTCTTTTATTGCATTTGCTTGTGTTTACATTCATGTGTAGTGAGTAGTTACCCATTAGGGTTTGAGATGGGATAGATTAGAGGTTTCATATGCTTAATCCTTCTAGCTTATGGTCTTAATCTAGATTCTCTCTCTTTTGGATAGATCTTAAGGCTACATGACCACTACCCCTGGCTTGTAAGTCCTTAGGCGACTCCCCACACGAAAGTGATGGCATTCGCTGGAAAAGATCCACTAAGAGCTCCAATATCTCTTGCTCTAGACAATAGAGGTCTAAGGGGTTGGATGGATTAGTTTGGGCAATGATCCTATAGCCTCCAAGGTTTGATTCTCACTGGCTAACCCCCTGTTTCTGAGATCATTCCTTGGTTGATAGCCTCCACCTTGGGAAAGGGTTGGCTAGGCATTGAGAAGCCCAATATCAAGAGAAGCCTTGATACAAGGAGTTTTAAGAGCTAGATTGATTAAGTGTAGATTCCTTTGATTGCAAAACCCTGTCTTGAACCCTAATTCTCTCTTTATCTTGTTAAAGTCGTCACCTTTAGCTTTGTTTGTCTCAACTCGTCCCTAAACTCGATCGAGCTGGTACTTTGCTCTGACTCGACTCGAGTCTTGGTCGAGCTGACACTTCACTGCTTTGTTTACTTTTATTGCACTGCTTTTCATTTTTTTAGGTTGTTAGTGTTACTTCAAATCTATAACTGCTTGCTTGACTTCTGGTTGTTTCATATTCTCATAGAGTGACAAGTTTCCCATTTTGGATTGATAACCTCTTATACTTCAATGACTATGATGGTTAAGAGGAATTGATTGATTGTGTTGCACCATTTCATCTTTATTCACCACTGTTGCATTCCACCTCATCTCATTTCATTCATTTTCACATCCACACAAAATCCTATCATCAATTTGGCGCCGTTGCCGATTTGGGAATATTTTTGTTGCATTTGAGTTTCAAACACACTTGGACGATCAAGCTATACCACCCCTGTTCTATTGTACTGCTGGGTTTTTGTCTCTTTTTGCAGGTGTATGCGAACTCGATCGAGTCGGTCTACTGAGGACTTGGTCGAGCTAGACTTACAACGGGTAGAAAGAGGGTTCAGAGGTCACAGAGGGTACAAGAGGAACCTGAGGTGCTTGTTGCTGATACAATGGATGTACCAGAGGGGAATGGAAACCCTTTGGGAATGGACTCGGTCGAGCTAGGCAAACTCGACCGATTGGTCAAGGAGATGCTCCAAACCGCCACCAACAGAGACAAGGGATTGTTCCACCACCAGTGCAGAACCACAACTTTGAGATCAAGCTGGGAATGATCAACCTTGTCCAGAACAAGATGTTCCATGGATTGCCAAGTGAAGACCCCATTGACCACCTTGATGAGTTTGATAGGCTTTGTGATTTGACAAAGATCAATGGTGTCTCTGAAGATGCCATCAAGCTGAGACTCTTTCCTATGTCTCTAGCTGACAAAGCTCACCAATGGGAGAAGAGCTTGCCCCATGGCACAATCACCACTTGGGATGAATGCAAGAAGGCCTTTCTTGCTAAGTTTTTCTCCACCGGTCGCACAGCCAAGCTTAGAGGAGAGATATCCAGCTTCATCCAGCGAAACAATGAGACATTCGCAGAGGCTTGGGAGAGGTTCAAAGGCTACACAAGTCAGTGCCCACACCATGGATTCAACAATGAATCACTACTCTCCACTCTTTATAGAGGATGCTTGCCTAGGTATAGGGAGATGCTAGACACAGCTAGCAATGGGAACTTCCTCAACCAGGATGTAGATGATGGCTGGCAACTTGTGGAGAACATAGCTAACTCAAATGGAAGCTATGGAGAAGAGTATGATCGCACCAACCGGAGCTCGACCCACCACTCGATCGAGTCAGACGAAAAGTTGAGAAAAGATGTTAAGGCATTGAATGAGAAGTTGGATAAGCTGATCCTAGCTCAGTCCACAATGAAGAAAGTCAACTTTGTGTCTGCTGAGGAGATGGAACCAGTCCAAGAAGGGGAGGATACACAATTTGCTGAGGTGTGCTACATGAGCAATGGGCAAGGAGGTTACAACAAAGGATACTATAATTACAAGTCCAACCCTGCCATGTCATACCGCAACACTGATGTTGCTAACCCTCAGGACCAAGTATATCCTCAACAACAAGCAGCTCGATCGAGTCAGGTGCCACAACATGGGTATGGTCAAAAGAACAATTACCAAGGACCACAAGGCACTTTCCCTGGACAACAAATGAATATCCCACCAGGCTTCCCCCACCAACCGCCCCAGCCTGCACCTTCACAAGAGAATGAGCTCAAGGCAATGCTAAAGCAACTACTTCAAGGGCAAGCTGATGGGGTAGTGGACACAAGCAAGAAGCTAGCTGAAATAAACTCTAAGATCGAGAACCTCAACACAAGGGTTTACTCTCTGGAGAATCATGCTTCTTCTGTTGCTGCTGCTACAAAGCAAGGACAACTACCTGGTAAAGCTATTCAGAACCCCAAGGAACAGTGCAAGGTCATCTTCACTCAAGAAGGACTTGTTGAAGAAGAGGATCAAGAAAGGGTCATTGAAGATTTTTGTTTACTGCTGAATGATGAAGAGATTGTTGCTGCTGAGGCTCCTGGAGTCCAGATTGATCAACCAGAAGTGCATGCACCTACTGTGGCCATTCACACTTCACCAGTTGAGCTCGCACGACAAGCTCGATCGGCAGCTCGATCGAGTCCAACTCTAGCTCGATCGAGTCCGACCTCTTCTGTCCGACAGCCTGTTTTGCTTGATCCTTACCAACCGGTTGCCGCTTCCTCGTCTCGCCTACTTAGTCAAGGTCACAAGGAAGTGATTCACAAGTTCAGAAGAGATCTCAGTGGGATTGGAATTGAGTTGCCTCCTATGGATAGCATGAGTGAGGCATTTGATCAAATGCAAATGGTCAAGGATGTTCTAGCCAACAGTGATAAAGTTTCAGAGGTCCTACAAGAGTCTACTCATCAGTTCAACCTGCTTACTTCACCCACCTTCCTACCAAAGGTCAAGGATCAAGGGAAATTCACTCTCCCTTGCACACTTGGGCATCTTGAGATTGACAATGCCTTAGTGGATTCTGGAGCAAGCATCAATCTGATCTCTCTCTCCATGGCAGAGAAGCTAGGCATTGCTGGAGCCTTGCAGCGCCCTACTACTTCAATCATGTTTGGAGATGCAACTTCTAAGTCTCCTCTTGGAGTGTTCAAGAACTATCACTTGAAAATTGGAGAATGCATCATCCAAACTGATCTCACTGTGATGGAAATGGAAGAAGAGAAGGATTTGCCTCTGTTATTGGGAACCCCTTTCCTTAGTACAGTTGGCGCTTCAATAGACTTTCACAAGCAAGAAGTGATCCTTCACAAGGTGAATAGTTTGGTGTCATATCGCTTGCAGCCTAGAGGTTCAGACTTTTGTGCCACAATTGACAGTACCACTCTCAGTTCTAAGAGTCATGGAGCTACAAAGGTTGTGAAGGAAAGGGTTGACAAGGAACCAAGAGTTGGGAAGGATAAGGATGAGAGAGGACCAAGGATTGAGAAGCCACGTCTTGAGAGGGCTAGAGTTGAGAAACCACGTCTGATAGGCCACGAGCTGATAGACTTGTTCAAGCCCCTTGTGTGCTTGATGAAGAGAGCCTTCAAGCTTTGTTTGATGAGCCACTAGGAAGGGCTCTAAAAGAAGGGGAGGATGTAGCCTCTAAGGCAAGACCAGGGATAAAAGAAAGGATCCACCAGCTCAGGCCCCTTCAGTCAAGCCATCTCAGCTCACAATGACTTTGTTCCCCACCAAGTTTGAAAATGGGAAGATTGAGTACAAGATAAGGTACAAGGGGAGATCAAGGCCATTCTCTAGAGCCAAGGCCTTGGTGACTTCAGAACAGTCCAGGGACCCAACCAAGCTAAAGGAGCTTCTGTCTCAAGTCCTCACTATCACCCTTGATGGTGGGACTAGCTCAACCAATGCCTAAGAAGGTAAAGGTCAAGCTATGGGACCTTAAACAAGCTCACTTGGGAGGAAGTCCCATGTTTATCCTTGTACATACTCTATTTATGCAATTTCTATCTATCTTTATGTTTTTAACCTTTGAATAAGTTAAGTTTAGGTGTCAAAGGAGCCAGCTCGACCGACAGCTCGATCGAGCTAGAAACCAGGGCAACTCGATCGAGTTCACAACTCGACCGAGGTAAGTTTTTGAATTTCAAATTCATAACCGTTTTCTTGGTCAAGGGAGTGGGTCCCACAAGCTGATTTTGGTCCCCCACTACCCTAATTTGATCAGAAATCCCTAGCTTCTTGTTCCCTCTTTATTTCATCTTTTAATCTCAACCACACATCTCAAACACCCCTCTTCCCCATAACTCGATCGAATCCACCTTCTCCACTCTCCCACACTTAAAATTTCTGAAACTCATCTCTCTCTCTCTTCACCACAAGAAAAATCGATTTCAATCTCTCTCTCTTAAGTTTTTGCGATTTCCTTGTTCTTCATCTTGTTTTGCTTGGGTTTTGTTTACTGCTTCAATTCCATCATTCAACAAGGTATGAACCCTAAAACCCTTGATTCCTCCATCTCGATTTCATATTGCTTGTTTCTCTTTGATTTTTGATTGCATGTGTCCCTTGTGGACTTGTTCTTGAGTAATTGCTCATATTTCGCCTCTGCTATATAATCTTGTTAATTTGTCACCTCACCTCTGTTTTGCCTTTAAACTTGTTGCATGTGCTTGAAAATTGAATTTGAGTTTGGTATTGGTTAAGATGCTTAGTGCTTTCTACTAGAATTGCTCATTGTTCCATTTACTAGTTGTTCTTGGTTCAATTTGATTGATTAGCATCCTTTCCAGCTCTTAATACTTGAATTAGGTTCGGTTATACTCTGTTTTCACCCAGCTCGATCGAGTTTGTCACTCGAGTTTTTTGACTCGATCGAGCTGAGTGTCGAGTTGACCAAACCGATCATTACAACTCTAATTCTTTGTAATCTTTGATGCATTTCAGGTACTTTAGTGAAGAAACAGTGTAACAAGATGACAAACAGTGAGGGAAGTCGTTCACAGAGGAGAATGGTTGAGGGTGAATCAAGCAATGCAAGGGAAAGAAGGCTTAAGATGCAAGCCGATTTGGAGAGGATGATCAGAGGATGGAAGAATCTGATGCAGAGGGATATGTGTACTCTGAGGAAGTCTGAGAGTGAGAGATTGAGAGGAAGAGGAGAACCAAGAAGAGGAATGACCCATTAGTAGTGAGAGTGAGCAAGGGGAGTTTGAGATTGGAGTGAACCTTGTTCAAGAGGAGGGAAATGGTTCTCCAAATGAAGAAGGAGTGATGAGACTGAGAGTGAAGAGGAAGGAGAAGAGGTGAACCAATTGGTTGATGAAGATGACAAGAGGGGAACCAAGATGAACCATGGAGGAGGTTGAGCCACAAGAGCAAAGAGGAGGAGAGCTCCCTATGTACCAAGAGCACTACAATGCTCTCTTCTCCATGGACTTTGGAGACCAAGTACCCACATGTTGACACAATGAAGGCCCTTGGAATCTTTGAGGATGTGGAGTTGGTCTCAAGAACATGCACTTGGCCAAGTTTTCTCTTATCACATGGAATCCTACAAGGAGCTCACTTGCGAGTTCTTAGCTTCAATGAGGTACCACATGTATGATGAGGAAGATAGAGCTGATTTGGACCAAGGATTGGGATGGATCACGTTCTTGGCTAAGGGAGAGAAGAGAATGGTGACCTTTAGGCAGCTTGGATCTTGTTTGGGTTCAACTATGGAGAAGGTACCAAGTGGAACTTCAAGGAAAAGGAACTCCAAAGGGTTTGGGCTACAATCGCTGATGGAGGTACTCTTCCTCAAGGTCCAAGGCAGCTCAGATCAGGAGCCCAGTGCTTGAGGTATGTGCACAAGGCACTTGCCAACACCTTCTTTGCAAGGAAGGCGACCGGGACAATCAACGAGGGGGAACTCAAGTTTCTTGACATGGGAATCAAGCCCATTCTCTCACGCACAAGGATGGCAAGAGGATCAGAGGGGAGATAGATCTGACACAGGGAACTTGATGCCTTCCTTGACCAGCTCCACCTACAAGATCACAGCTTACAACACTAGGCATCAACGAGGGAGGCGCTAAGTGTTGGAGGGATCATCACCCTATCTTGTGTGCTGCTGGAGTGAACCCAACTGATAGAGAGCCACTGAACCAGGTTGGATGGACATCAAGTTTTGCAAGACCAACCTTCTCATTGAGCACAAGGAGTTGGATGGGAGATTCCAATTCAAGTTCACACATCCATTGGCTGGACCCTCCAAGCTTCTCCTGCCCAACCCAGAGCTCACCACAGTAGTAGGGGTGAGAACATTGACTTCAGACCCCCTGTGTACACATTAGTTGGGCATGAGGATGATTTGCGAGAAGAGGAGCCTGAGCTCGATCGAGCTGAGTCTCGAGCTGAAGATCAGGGCCAGGAGAAGGGTGAGCGGATTCTGAGGAGTGAGCTCCAAGAGAATTGTTGTGGCAACAAATGGCAAGGGAAAGCCATTGAGAAGATGCAAAAGTCCATGGACAAGATGGTGAGCAAGATCAAAAGTTTGGAGAAGAAGGTTTCTGGTTCTTCAAGCAAGAAGAAGAAGTCCAAGGCCCCCACATTCCTAGGAGTAGATCACTCTCACCACTCCAAGGAGGCTCCCTGCCCAAGAGCCTCACAGAGCCTCTTCTTTCGAGCCAAGGGAAGGAGAAGACAACACGCAGAGAAGGAGGAAGACTTCCAAGGCCAGACGCTCCAGCTCGACCACCGGACTCGATCGAGTCCAAACAGAGGAAACTCAACTCGATCGAGCTGACGGTCGAGCTGACCTGGAGGAGCCCCAGTTCGAGGATCCGGGATTTGAATACGATCCCATGCCTTACCAGGAGCCTCCCCGGAGTAGATGGAACCCCTATGGACAGTACGAGCTACCAATGCTCCACCAAGGCCAAGGAAGCCACACACTTTGAGGAAGAAGGAAGAGGAGAGCAAGCTCGATCGAGTGACAAGAGGCAGTTGAGTGGAGTGCTCCTGATGGCCGTCTACCATCTCCAGACCACGACCTAGTCTCCCAGTTCTTTGGGGGACACTGAGGTATCCAAACACCAACCCTTGTATATACCATTTCATATTTTCTTGCATTTGTTCTTGTTTTTCTTGGTTTTGCCCTCTTGAATCTTTCACTAAATTTTTCTCACACAAGGGACTGTGTGATTTAAGTTTGGGGGAGGGTTCAAGAGATGATTTAACCTTGTTTTCTTTGTTCTTAGTTTTTCATTCATCTTTTGCATAGAAAAACCAAAAAAATCATAAAATTTTCAAAAAATCCAAAAATATTTTCATCTTTTTGCATTCATATTTGTTAGACTTGTTTAGGATTGCATTTTTCACTTGCATTGTTGATTTGACTTTGAAAACTTGTCCATCTTTTGCGATTTCTTGAGTGCCCTGTTTTTAGATTCTTTTGTGCATTAGGGTGAGATTGATTGAGCAGCAAGAACCATGTTTATCTTGATCATATCACTGCATGCACATCTCATTCAACCATTGCTGTGATTTGATGCATTTCCCTATCTATTTGAACCATAACTTGATCTTTAATTACCAATGCTTGCATTTGATTTCAACTCATGGCTACCACATACATATCTGGACATTCTTTACCTTTTCATATCCCTTTTGCTTGTCCAGATAGCTGATCTCTATCTTTGAGACAGTTACCACACCTTAAACCTAAGCCTTTTCATTTCAAACCCCATTTTATCTCTTGTGCGAATGTGAGAACCTTTCTTGGCTTTGCTTAGCATAAGGTGTTGTGTTTAAACCGGCAGGGGCAGTAGTTCTAGTTGTCTAGTTCTCTTGGGATTGTTTTCAGGCTAAGTTTGGGGGTGCCAACTCGAGCTCGATCGAGTTGGGTGTAAAAACCAGAAAAGTGGTAAAAGTTGGGAAAAACCCAAAGGAAAAAGAGTTTAGTCCAGGGAGTTGGCAGTGTTTAAAAGGGTCTAGTAAAGGTTTGGGAAGTTAAAAAAGGAAGTAAAAAGGGTTCTAAGTAGAATGAAAAGAAGGCAAAGCCTCAAGTGTCAAAAAGGAAAGAAAAGTTCCCTAAGTGTTTAGAAAATCCCAAACCGCTAGATGTTACCTCAAGAAGCCTCTCCCTAGGAAGTTCTTAAAAGAAAAGTGAGCAAAGCTCCTCAGTTTCAAAGGCGAAATGCCAAAAAGGGTAGTTAGGATTTTGTTCTAAAAAGCTCTAAGTGTTGAACTCGATCGAGTTAGGATTAGGCGGCTCGAGCTGCTGTTCTTGCATCATCTTTGGTTCTAACACTTAGCCTTCTGCCAAAGCAAAGCCACTTTCTTGAGAGATCCCTGTTACTAAACCACCATACAAAAGAGACCCTCTTTGTCTCTTAACCCATAAACCCTTGAAACCAAATGAGTTGATTGATCTTGCATGTTTTTGGTTCACTGTTTTTGCTTAATGAATGTTAAAGGGATTTGCTGATTTGAATGCATTGTTTGAGTGACTGTGAAGTGGGATTGATGTTGATAAGCATGGTTAAATCTTAATGAATATCTCTCACCTTGTTGCATTCTAGAATCTCTAAGTTGGACATTTAGCAAATCGCTTTTGAGGACATGTTTTTAAGTGTTGAATCAGCTTATTTTCAAACCTCATCTCTTTCTTGTTCTATTTGTTTGCTTGAGGGCAAGCAAAGTTCAAGTTTGGGGGTGTTGATGTACTTGCATTTTACATAGTTTTAGCACATCTTTTATGCATCTTTTGCATAGTTTTAGCTCCATTTGCATCATATCTTGTTCCTTTTCTCTTCTTATGCATTCATGTTAGTTTTAGGTTGCATTTGCATACATATGCATGTTTGGTCCTTTGAAATAGGTCTTTTGGAGCATTCTGGAGCATATGGGACATGAGGAGCATGGAGGGACTTGGCACATGGAAGCAGCTCAACTGGATACGCAAAGGAAGAAGGGAGAAGCCATCTTGAAGACCAGCTCGACCGTCTACTCGACCAACCGGTCGAGTTCCTCAACTCGACCGGCCAAGCTTCAACTCGATCGAGCTGAGAAGTCAACAGTCAAACCCGAAAAATGTTGCTTCCCCCTTGACTTCCTTTGACCCTAAACCTAATCCTCTTTGTATTTAAAGGCTCTAAGCCACGAAAAAACCACCAAGCTTTAGATTATTTTGTTTTAGTTTCTTTTAATTTATTGTACTTTTACTTTTTAGAGATCTAATCCCATCTTTGTGTTCTTGAAGCTCTTGCTTCTTGAATCCTAGATCCTGGATAATCTCTCTTGTATTTGCACTTGCTTATTTCAATAAAAGTTGTTTAATTTCATCTCCTCTTTCTTATGATGTCTCTTTTATTGCATTTGCTTGTGTTTACATTCATGTGTAGTGAGTAGTTACCCATTGGGTTTGAGATGGGATAGATTAGAGGTTTCATATGCTTAATCCTTCTAGCTTATGGTCTTAATCTAGATTCTCTCTCTTTTGGATAGATCTTAAGGCTACATGACCACTACCCCTGGCTTGTAAGTCCTTAGGCGACTCCCCACACGAAAGTGATGGCATTCGCTGGAAAAGATCCACTAAGAGCTCCAATATCTCTTGCTCTAGACAATAGAGGTCTAAGGGGTTGGATGGATTAGTTTGGGCAATGATCCTATAGCCTCCAAGGTTTGATTCTCACTGGCTAACCCCCTGTTTCTGAGATCATTCCTTGGTTGATAGCCTTCACCTTGGGAAAGGGTTGGCTAGGCATTGAGAAGCCCAATATCAAGAGAAGCCTTGATACAAGGAGTTTTAAGAGCTAGATTGATTAAGTGTAGATTCCTTTGATTGCAAAACCCTGTCTTGAACCCTAATTCTCTCTTTATCTTGTTAAAGTCGTCACCTTTAGCTTTGTTTGTCTCAACTCGTCCCTAAACTCGATCGAGCTGGTACTTTGCTCACTCGAGCTCTTGGTCGAGCTGCTACTTCACTGCTTTGTTTACTTTTATTGCATGCTTTCATTTTATTTAGGTTGTTA